GCAGCCTGTCAGTACTTAAAGGGGGCTTATAAAAAAGATGGTGGCAGACTTTTTAGCGAGGCCTGTTGCGACAGGACAAGGGGGAATGGCTTTAAACTAAAGGGGGGTAGATTCAGACTAGACATAAGGAAGAAATTTTTTACGCTGAGGGTGGTGAAACACTGGCACAGGTTGCCCGGAGAGGTGGTGGATGCCCCATCCCTGGAAACATTCCAGGTCAGGTTGGACGGGGCTCTGAGCAACCTGATCTAGTTGAAGATGTCCCTGCCCACGGCAGGGGGGTTGGACTAGATGACCTTTAGAGGTCCCTTCCAACCCAAACTATTCTATGATTCTATAATTTTGGAGGTAGGTCAGACTCACTCTTTTGTGCATTAATATATTACCGCTGCTTCCAAGCTTTGCTTTCATGCAAATTACTTCCTTTTTATTGCTACTCATCATTCCCATCCCTTAAAAAACTTTCTCCCCATCTGCAGCCCATTGTCATAGTGCCTGTGGGAGGAGGAGGCTGTTCAATTATTATAGCTCAAGTATAATGTTCATAGCATAATAGTGCATTAGAAAGATTCAGAAATGTCTTTGCAATGCAAATAGCCATAAGCTTCAGCATCCTCCTTCTCTCCAGCTATGTTTAACCACACATCTTCCAAAGGTCAATACCCTCAAGACAGAATATGGATGTGCTCTTCATGTGCTTTGGTGCAAAGTTTAAGTCTCTTTAAACTTAACCTGCTGATGAAGTTGACTTCAGTTACCCCACACGATGTGGTATTTTTTAACAGATTAGGGAATGCTCACACATTCTGTTTTACCACCTGACTCATAGAGGTGGCAGCCTCCAAACTGTAAGCAGTAAGTGGGATTTGTAATGTCTTCAAGTATCTCAAACAGATTCGGAAAAGGATTTCTGGCATGAACTGGATTATCAAGGACAGAAGTCTGACCATTGCTATCTTCCTTTGTCAACAAGCCTTATACTTCTGAGAAGAAACATGGCCCTGAGCACTAGAGCTCTTAAAAAGGCCCATAGATTTTTGAAACATCTTGAATTATGTCCCTTAATTTCCTGAAAAAGTGTCCTATATAATGCCCTGAGACAACCTGGGAGAATACCAGCTACTAAATAAATATTTAATTAATATCTATTAAAATGAACTCATTCCTTTCCTGAACAACAAACCTGATACATTTGCAAGTCATTTGGTAAGAAGAATTTGCAACATATGTTGAGAGTCCCATAACTTTCTGGGTGCAGACAGAGAGCTGTGGGGAAAAGTGGGAGAGCTAGATGCAGTATTGGGATAAACTGACAGCTGAGAGGCAGCAGAGAGGGAGGGAGGCAGACAAAAAGGGATGGACTCAAGTTGTTCATTGTGTGGGTAGCACACAATGTAGAGAACAAGGCAGTGGGAAGACTGGGGCAGGGAGTCTACTGGTTCCTCTATCTTCCTCCCATGTGAAGCCACCACCCCTTCCCTGTGTCTCTGCCCCGGTGGAGCAGACCGTTGCATTCACAGCTCTGCCCACGTAAGATGTGGAAGAAGGAATTGGGCAAAGGAGTCATGTCACAGAAAGGACGTGAATGGGGCAGCAAACACCGAAACACTGCAAAAGAGAACGTAACAGGAAGGAAAGGAGCAAGTGTCTATCTAGGACAGGAATAGAGAAGGCTCATTTCTGCCCTCCTGAAAATCCCGACTTGATCAATCTCCTCCTACTGCAAGCCACAATGCAAGCAATTAGCACAGTTTGAGTGCTTGCAGCCCATCCCTTGCTGTTACAGTTAGGTCCATGGCATACACAAATTTGATTTGCTAAGTACCATAATGCTGTAGTGCCCAATTTCCAGAGGCTTAATTAGTTACTATCATTCTTTACTTCCTGATTTAAAAAAAAAAAATTGAATCATTTTCTACAGGGAGCTTTGCTGGGCAATCTCAGCTCTGCAAATAAAAAGCTTTAAGTGTACAATATATCAACAAACCAAACTTCTGCATTACAATACCTAGGAGAATGGCAGAAAGTCTCACAGTTTTTAAAACCTAAATTAAGCTCCCAGTAAGTTTTTGTAGATATTGAATTAATTGATCAAATTGAAATCAGTGTAGAGGTACTAAAATGGCTCCATGCCTCAAAACAATCAGATTAGCTGGAAAACAGAGTTCAGCCTTATCTCAGCGGTGAGGCAATTACTATTTTACAGCAAGCAATAAAATTTCAACTCTGGCAAGAGAACAGTCCCAAGCAAAACACACCTGTGAAGTGTTCAGTAAATTCTTGCTCCAGTTTCATGGCTCTCTCAAATGTCTTCCTGGCTTGCTCTTCCGTTAAGCGTTTATTCATTTCCCTGAAATCGAAAACATTACACATTTAAAAACTACTATCAAATACTTGGGAGTCTTTTGAAATAAGGCTTTAAACTGCTGCCTGAGTATTAACCCTAATAAGAGGCAGTCTCCTAAATGACACACCTAAGCAAAGACTGTAGTGGGAATGAGCTGTTCTGACACTATGTTGCATGGAATTTAGCACAATGACATTCGTTCTCAAGCACTTTAATTTGGATTAGAAACCCCGTCTAAAAGCCCCTAGAAATTCAACTCAGGAAATTAAATATTGCTTAAAACACAAATATTACAATTGTCTTCACATAATCTGCAGTTGGCTTTTCAAATACAATGACAGTCTCAAACAATTTAGCCTGAGGTACTTTACTTTTACTCACATGATATTTTCCACTGTTTTGGGTTTAATAAAAATGGAGATCGGGTACAGCTGGGCAATCTGCAACCTTTTGATCGCATTACCAGAAACATCAAGAATGCAATGTTTACCCTAAAAAGTGAGAGAGAAGGGAAAATGGCACTAAGCAAAGTTTAAGTCACAGGTATGCATAGCTAATAATGTAGAAAAGAAAACACGTCTCCACTGAAGCCAACAAAATTAGAGCATTCACATCGATGATATTATGATTTCACCACAAGGTCCCACAATGGTCCTCCGTTGGGATCATACATCATTTGAGATGTTCCTGACCCTTCTTCCTTCCTTTCTCCACCAGAGGTTGCAGCCCAATCAACAATGCAGAATCATCCAGTGGAACAGCTGTACTTCAACCACACCACCAAAATTTTATATATATATATTTTTTTTTAAATTCAATAATTTGAGGATCCTTTAGGGAGGTGGCCATGTCACAGATGCAGTTTAGAGAGGAGCCAGATGACTTAACTGGCATACCTCAGGGAGTAACCACCCCTGATGGTGGCATATTTCCCTGCCATCAGAATCGTTAGATAGAACTGAATACAAGCACTCTCCTCCCCGCAGGTACCACACAATAGAATACCAAGTTTGAGATGGTGAATGCAATTTATTTGGGCCGATTACTTTTTATCTCTTGAGAAATGAATAAAACTTAACTCTTCCTTGGACAGTTGGAAGACAATGTGGTAGGGCTGCTTGTCTCCCCACCTCTGTTCTCTCACTATAAGCAATTTTCCAATTTTCCAACTCTTTGGGATATCTCATCTCAAAGGCTTTTCCTGTTCCTCAGCTCCTCTCATCTCCGATACGCTTATTTCCACCTCACCCATTTTTCTTTCTTTCCTTTCTGAGTAGCGTATGACTAATATGGCATACCACCATTTTAGAAAGGGATGGGCAGAGAGGAACAGAAAACCACTGTCGGGCGACCAAAGTAAGAAAAGCTTTTTCTTTAGCAGGAGTCCAATGTGAATGGCAGAATTCTGTGAGCCAGGATACAAACCATAAAACCAAAGGTTACTCATATCATACAACACACTTCCTGAACTCCTGGGAGATCATTCCCGGAGGGCATGTTGAAGAGCAAGGAAGTGACTGCAATCTGAAATGACAGACTCGTTTCCGCTTCCTGGCAGAAGAGATCACTAGGATCGTTTACATTTGATCTCTTGCACAACAAAACCACAGAATTTTATTTCAGGAGTTCTTAAAGAGGATAGAAGTGTTCTTCCCACACGAACAATACATATCTGCTTGCTTTCAACTGATAATAGCTGTTTCCCAGATCCAGTCCATGGATCTGGATGCTGAGTGGTATAATTTAAGAAAGGTGTTTCTATGTTCTAGCAGAGCATTTTGCTACGTGTGCTGACCTGTCTACATCTTTCAAATAGTTTCTCTTTAAATGTGGCACATGCTCTGGGATTTGAGAATTAAGAGCATTACCCGGTCCATGTTCCTTTTTGGGATTTGACACTTCGTATTTGCTGTATATGGCCCTACAACTTTTGCCAGGTGCCAAAGGATATTGGGCAAAGGGTGGAGGACTAGATTGCCAGCACAGTAGCTGCACTGGACCTTATGGAATACAACTGTGACAGTTTATCCCAAATCGATAATGAACATGTGTTAACAGTGGCCTCAGACACAGAGATTTGCAAGCTGCTAGCGATTCCAAAGAGGATATGAAAATTCCTTTCATGTGAAGATTTGGAAGACAAGGAAAAGAAACGCAAGTACTTTATGATAGAATCATCATGTTTTCATCCAGGGAAGCTATTTTGCTCTTTGCACAGTGCATTTAAACAATATTTTACATATTTTTTAGTTCCTTACTTGCACTGCATCTGATTGAGAAACTCAGCACAGCACTCAGTGCCTTTTACAATAACTGAACAATGACATCAAAAAGCATCTTTAGCTGTGTCCATTATAGGTAAGGAAATGAGAGAGATAGGGATCAGCTGGAAGCATGGGCAAATGAACACAATTTAAAGCTATTGCAAGAATACTATTTCTGCACTTTTGGGGTAGTAGCAGTCACTTTCTGTTGTGTCTGCCCCTAAATTCATCGCAGAAAACTTGGAAATAGTCTTTTGTATCCCAGTAATAAGACCCACTGAAGAGACTCATCTCTTAAGCGAGATGGAGAGGACTACAAGGAGGGAGTAGCCCCAGATTGACCACTTTGCAGCCCTGTCACGATTTTGAAGTCAAGTTCTGAAGGACAGGCTATTGTTTCACTGAAAAATAACGTTAGCTGGAACTGAGAAATTGCTGCATATACCCAAAGTCCCACGGTGCCTGTGCAAGAAATTTAATAACATGGAGACATCTGGTAGTACTTTGTTCTTTATGTCAGTTCATAAAAGATTCACAATCATTTTGCACCTTACTAATCCCACTAGATGGGCAAAAGAACACAGCCGATTTCAGGTCTAGGATGGAACTGAAAGACTGTATCTGTGCTACCAGGTGAAGCAACTGCCGACAGGTTTATAAAGTTCAAGCTGTTCAATAAATAGTTTCATCATTTAATCACATACAATAGTTTCACAACTTCATTCAGCCTCCCATACAACGTACAGTTCATTTACTTTAACAATTTTGTAGTTAATTTTATTTTCTTTACTTTTCTTGCTATATACCACGAGGCCAGGTTCTATTCCATAGGGTGAGAAAGACAGCAGAAGAAAACTTCATCGCCTGAACCACAGAATCTCACCGTGTTCGCCCTGTTTTTGATTCCAGTAAATTACACTGGCCAGAAATAACAACACTCAGCCATTTGGCCAGAATGGTCTACACTGTTTTCCAGAGGACTAACTACACTCCCATGTCTCAGGGGTTAACCACACTTACCCTCTGCATGTCCAGACTGAAAGTGCTCACGCTTGTGAGTTCCCACCTAGAAAATAGCTGTTTCTTCTCTCATACGGATCAGATAACATTGTCTACTGTAAATGCACCATATTTGTAAGCAGTAGAATGACACTCATCAACCTAATGTGGAACATTTGCAAAAAATTTTCACCAAAAAATTTTCTTTAAAACAAGCATCTCACTCTAAGAAATATGCTCCTTTCTTTCCACTCTTTTTCTGAGAGCTCAAGTAAACTTCACTTTGAATTTAGAAATATTTAGATTTTGCAAGAAATAGTTAATTAACATCTGTTCAAGATAAAAACAGTAAAGTCAGTCTTCAAAATGTAGTGGTAGTTATGTAGAACGTCTTTCTAAAATTGAGTTTATTACATTCACTCCTTTCCCTTTGTCAGATAAATCCATGAAGGGCACAAAGAATAACAATTTTACAAGTTTTCTTCTGCACAGGTCTATATCAAATGGATCATCATATTAATTGACTCCACCACCGCTATTCTTAATTAGTTAATGATCTATGTACATGAGCTAGACTAATTAGTCTGTAATTCCAATTATTTCTTCTCTATTTTCTTTATATGAGGGCACAAACTATGGTTGCTTTTTTCCTGTAATTTAATCATGATGCTTTCGTTATTCCAAAGCTTCATTATTTCCCTAAATGCATTTGTGACAATGCACTTTGTTTCTAGTTTTGTACAAATTCCTTTTAAAAGTCAGAGGGTTCCTAATGGCTTCTTGCCATTCTTCTCTTTTTTTCCCTGTCAGCACAGACAGATAATCACCTCAGTAAATGAAAGTAACTGGCACTGATTTACCTTTTCTGCTACTTCTCGCACTGATTGGACACTTGTTCCATAAAGATGATTATTGTACTGGCCAGCTTCAATGAATTTGTGATCCTGAATATCCTTCTCCATTTGCTCTCGAGAAGTGACAAAATGGTAATCACGTCCATCCACCTCATAATCTCGTTTTGGTCTAGTAGTATCTTTAAATATAAACCAGTAATTTTTAAAGCAAAACAAAAAACAGTGACTTTTTTCCCTACAATATCCAAAAACAGTCTCCCATTTATACTGCAAAATTGTCACAAGCAAAGAGATGACTGACAACTAAGATAGCTCTATAAAAGTTTAGACAGTATATTTTTTTTTAACTCAACATACATACAACTTTTTTTTAACTCAACATACAGAGGATGTCTATTAAGAAAATTAACACAAAAAATCATTTAGAATTGCTTTAGTATTTACTGAGACTTACGTGGAACACATGAGCCAAATTTGTCTGGAAATTCTGAGATCAGATCATCATTTATTCTGTCTTTCATGGGTCCCAAAACAATCACAGGTCGAGTGTAACTGACTATTAAACATAAAGGAATAACATCAGTTACATTTCAGTATGATTGCTTTCTTTTACAGTTCAGCAAAGTAAGCTTTATCACATGGTAATGGTTTCAATACCTAAAAGAATATGTACTCCTAAAGAGAAGAAAAACATGTTGAAGAACGTATATCAATTAATACCGTAGTCACAGTAAGATGTTAGATCTTCACTTTCAAATCACCATCCTGGGGGATCGAAGATGTCTTAAATTATGAAGTCTTTGGGGAAAAAAAGAAGTCTTTTCACAAAGTAACATCCTTCCTTCAAATGAAAGTTTGAAAATCTTTTCACTTCAAAGAGCTACCTAAGCAGTAGCAGAGTTCGTGAAATTCCAGTTCTGTGTTGGGAGAAGCTGCTTCTTTTCCTCTAAGATCACAACTTAAATACTCATATATGAAAAGACTCAACTATATATAGCTTCTGTAACTATTAACACCCTTATAAAATGAAGTACAGCATCTTTTAAAAGCAGCTTAATTTTTTACAAAGTTATAAAGGGCTTTTGGTTGAAAATTAAGCTCAAGCAGAAAATATCCGATTATACTGCAAGAACCATGAAGACAATGTCTAAGTATCTTGGCATTAGCATATAATTTCAGCTGTATATATTTTAGTTTTAGGTTCAGTCTGTCTTTCATGCACAAATAAGTCCAAATTAAATAAAGTCTGACCTATAAAATATATTTTAATTTGACTCTCAGAACTATTTCCTTTCAGGGTTATCAAGATATTCATAAAAGGAATGTCTGGGATCCAGTAACTGTCAACCTATTAATTTAACAATAAACATCTTTGTTTAAAGACTAAGGGTGGCCCACTAGTGTCTCAATTCCAAGCACCTTTAAATCTATTTTGGTCATTACAGTTCTTTATTCCTCTGGGCTTCTTTAAAAAAAAAAAATCACTGTGGAAATGAATTAGTGGACAAATGCAGATAATGTGTACAGGGAATGTATTACTGCACCTAAGCAAAGGAACGAAGTGCTGGTTCTTTTATGGCCTTCCCCATATGCTATGTTAGATTCATAAAGGGAATTACAGTCATGTATTTAAATGCCAAAGCACTTGGCTCTCTAAAAATCTTTAGTTTTACAATATGGTGGTTACTAAACCATCGGCTTGCGCAAAGTCTCATTCACAGCTTTTCTCTTCAGCCTTAATGTTAATTCACTTGGTATTACTATCGTTCTCACTAAACCGTTAAGCTATCAGAATCTGGGAAGCTAATGCCAGCTAAAAAGATGTTTCTCGTTTTGTGAGACCCTCTGGTATGCACACATACACAGACCCAGCGGCTGCTCATCTGAGGGTAACCAACCTCCAGTTCCCCAGCTTAAGCATAGTTTACTTAGCACGTCGAAGAGGGCCTACCATTTCCCCATTTCTAGCATGGTCTCAACTCATGCATTTCTCATCCATGATTTTATTTGGAGCCTACCAAAATTACCAATTAGATGATACAAATAAGGTAGTTTGTGTTAGTCTTGTATAACTATTTTTACTACTTTTGGAAGCTTACTGATGAAATGGAGCCCATATGTGACGATTAACAAGTTGGAGTGGAAGGTCTATTCAGGCACGCGTGTTCCACAACGCTATTAAAAGCAACCGGGCCATGCCACTCACTGCGTGAAACCAAAAATGAAATCTTGACACTCAAAATTCATGTAAATACATGATGTATACTTACTTCGACTGCCATCTTATTTGATAGGTAATAGACATCAAGTATTCCCAAAGGACATCCCTTTTACAGATTAATTTACAAATATATGAGCTATGTATCAGATAACGTAAATCAACCGTTAGCACCTGTGGTGGTGAATGGGAACACTAGAAATTCTGTATCTATTATACACAGTGAAGCAAGATCAGGAGCAAGGTGAAAACGAAATTATAGCATCCCACTGGAAATCACCGACAAGCATTTCATTTTAAATGCAAGGGTGAGAAAACATTTTGTCCTATCGATTTCCATTTCATTCAAAAAATTTTTTTTTCTGGGGGAAAAAAAAAAAAAAATCACTTGGCAATTGCTAACCAAATTAGCCATATAAGAAGTCCATACAGAAATGGGGACTGCCATGTTTTAGAGACATTTCAATTAAAGCCTACTAAAATAGACAAATGATCTATTGACACACTTTGCTGTGACAGAGAAAAGGAACTGCAACAGTTAGAATGCAAAAGCAATATGAAACAGAAGAAAACTAATTTGAGGTTCATACTGATGAAACTGTTATACATACCATGTTTTCCTTATGCAATGTAAACCACACATAATAAGTTATTTTAAGTAGCACACCTTTGGACCGTGCACTAAATAATTCAGCAATTGCATTTAATAATTTATGCCTTTATGCTTTATTCATTTGAATAATGGTAACAAGTTCAAAACAGTGAAGAAGTTTATCATGGTGCTCAGTACATAAGGGCACATGAATCATTCTGGTAATTCAGATGATATTTATTTTATACTGAGTGAGATCTACAAACCTTCCTGTTGATTGACTGGTTCATACGACAAGACATATTCCTCTTGGCCACCTGAAATGTAAACGCAAAGACGTATCTATGTATTTTTTTCTAAACAAACATATTTAAATTGAGTCATTCAATGAACTATAATGATACAGACATTCCTCAGTAATATGCATTACAATGATACTGATGAAGGACATTTTTCAAGAACGATGAATTATAAAAATCACAAAGATAAGCCAAACACAAAATTTTAAAGCGTAAGACACATACAGTATAAATAATTTCCTGGTTTATGTTAGCATGTCAAACTGACATCAAGCACAAGAAGAATTTTAAAGCATTATTGAAATGCTCTTATACACGTTTCCCTGAATGAAATGCATGCACGGTATCATTCACTGCTAGAGGCAATGCCACCTTCGTGATGAACATTCTCCATACTTTGAAGCCAGCATTTACAGTAACATTTTTCTACATTTATACAGGGTTGACAATCATGTATGTCAAGGTGTACATATCTTCCATTAACTTTATCATGAAGTGGCATTTATATAAACACCTTCAATCACTCTAATTCTACAAAAAAAAATGTGATTGTGTATACTAAATAACTATTATTTTATTAATGCATTTTTAAAGATGAACTTGAAAACAAAGAATGCTTTGTATTGTTCTCAGCTCCAGAAAGCACATCAGCAGTGAATGAAACTAAAATAACTGAATTTTGACCTTTGACAGCTGCAGGCTTTTTAAATGTTAGTGAAAGCATCTGAAATATACCTCAGTTGCCATCTTTCTAAAAGATTATTTCTAGTCTAACAAGATATCTCCAAATAAGATTTCTTGCAATGGAATCACTAAAAATTAACTCCATGACAGCAAAGAATTTATAATTCTGAAGATACAAGCTCAAATTATGTGACATTACTATGAACTTTGAATAAAATACAGCCCTTCAATAACTCACTTGTGTAATTTTGGAACATTCTTTGTAGTTCATAAGCCATACTTATAACAGGCAAAGGAACATACCAATGCTATACCACAGTTGTATAGAAGCAGATGGCAGATAAAGGCTTTTATAAATTAATATATTGCTTCTATATATCTATTCTTTATTTCATAGCAAACACCATTGATCTTTTCAATCTAAAATTTACAATTTCATTAAGAGAAATATTTCTTTTATTTGCAATAAATTTGCATTCAAACTGTACTACAGCAATACATGAATGAACATTTTAATTTTTTAAGTTATTGCAAGTGAGGAATACATTAAGACAGACATGAAAACATGCAACCTGTACATTTTAATATCTCAAAAAGTTACTCATGCAAATGGATTTTAGAAGGACAGTATATACTTTCAGAACCCCTTTTAGGCTAGGGAGAGGAATAGGGAATCACCAGCTATTGACTCATCTATGAAAGATCCAAATCATGTAATTAGATACATCTTTGGAGAAGTCACATTGCTATAAAGTCAAAAATCAGTTAAGCAAACTACTGAAGAGATAATAACAAGTAAAAAGCATCCCCTGATTGAGGGCAAAAAGTATATATTGTCACTGCTTTTCAATACTTTGGAAAAAGGAATATTAATAGAATGAACCTTTTGAACAACCGTACTCATCTGTAATCAAGATAACTTTCATATTAGACAGCAGTAAGAAGAAATTAAAAAAATCATTTTATTAAAAAGTGCTTGGAATTACACATTCAGATAAGCAAATCCATGACATTTGTAATAAAATCAGGGCTTCTCAAGTAATAACACAGTAAAAAACTAACTAGTAGTACTAATAATGAGCTTTAAACATACATAAAGCAAGCTCCAAGAAAAACCTTGGAGCCGGGGGGGTAAAGAGGGAAGCAGCAAATTTATGGAGAAACAGTCATGGTTAGATAGTTTTAATGGCGTGCCATTAAAAATGGTTAAAGTTTGTAAGTTTGTCACATAGGCAAAGGCAACCTCCATACATACTCAATTTTGTGTTATTCTCAGGGAACATGAATGCCTCCCCCAGTTGGTTTCTTTTCAGTCTATGACACTATTAGTACTGTAAGCGCTGGGGATTTTATATACATGTATAAATTCTTGAGTGTAATCATCCGGAAGAAAAAATGTGGATCATCACCTCTGAGAAGATCTACAGCTTCCAAACAAATGTATCTGTTAATGAACCACCTTCCTCATAAATAACATCTGTTTCTGAAGTGCCTGTTATACAGTTAGCAGGCAACTAGGAGCTGACCAGTGAGCCACTCAGTGTCACACTGCGTGACTTTTACTGTTCCTTCTTTTTGTATTCCTCTTCAAGTCCTCAACTTTTTCACCTTCCTGCTCTGCTCTACCCTGGGTTCCAGGTCTAGACTGTGCGACCTTACTGAGGAGTTGTTCACTGGAAATGACCAGCGGGATTGAAGTTCTGGCTCTGGTTTAAGACATTTTAAAGCATTGTAGAGCAGCATCGTGCAGCATATTACCCACTGTGAACATGTAGTACTACTGTAGCTTGGGTAATAGTAAATAGTACTGTAGCTTGGGCTAGTGAAAAAGCTAACTCAGTCTAGTATTTAAAAGATACTGTCTTCAGAAAGAGAGAACGTGTATGTGTGCCTATTATGCTAATTTATCATAACTGACTCCACCACTGAACGTGTGTTGTATGCTTCGAACACAATGCATATAACCACCCACACTAGACAAAATAGATAAATGAAAGCTGAAAGCATGGGTAAATACATGTTTGCTTATCTTTTCTTTCATTAGAAGTATATACATATTAAATCTGAGTATCAGTTGTGAAAAATGTAGATAGTTATTGCACTATTTAACAGATTACCCTGTTTAGTTACACTTCCAGTATTAAGCTCAACTACATATAATTGTATTTGTCAGCATTAAATTTACATTTAGGTTTTAACAGGTCTAGCTAGCTTGCATAATTAAAAAAAAAAAAAAAAGAAACAAATTGATTCAAATTAAGCTGAACTAAGAAAATTATCATAGATAACAATAAAAATATTCATAAAGGAGGTTTGCAATGATTCTCTCTAGTCAGTTTTTAAAAAACAGAGACACAGCAGAATTTGCAGTACCCCACCAAGCACATGAATATAGATTTCACCTGAAGGTGACTGGGAAGTTCTATTTAACATGTAAATACCCAGAACAGACAGACAAACAAAATCAAAGAAAGAGCTACTAAACAAAGGTTTTAAATAAACAAAGAACTTAAAAACACTTACGGTAACTACTTTCACTATCGCTGGCATTAGAGGTTACATGCTCTGAAATTGCAACACAATGGAAAAAAAAAATAAGGAACATACACTAATGGCATGAGTCCAAAAGAAAGCAAATTGACACAAAATAATCCAGATGAAAGACAATACTGATATCAAAATGCTGAAATCAATACATACTGCATATAAAAGTTTTAAGGTACTTCTCATAGCTCTCAGGATCAAGCCTAATTTCATATGAAAGGAATGGATGTTAATAAAAGGAAAAACATTAAAGATCATATCAAAATAAGATTACGAAAAGTACACTAATTCATAGTTCACATGTAACCCTGCAATTTTTAGGTTTTCACTTCAAGATGAATTTTGTTGTGCAAAAACTATGGGATTATGCATTTCAACTTTTATGCAGGCAATTTATTGATTATATTAAGAGTGTTGTAGCAGAAAATACTGGACTATATTGCAGGAAATATAGTGTAGCACGTTCAATAATAGACACTTTCCTGTGGTATATTAAATAGTTTACTTGAAGCGCAATGCAGAATTAAGAGCCCCCCCCCCCCCCCCCCGTAAATGCTTTAGTTTCAAAGGCTCCTGACTTTTATTCTTGACTATCTATATTAATTTCACGCCTTTTGCATATTAATCAAATAGATCAGTAGCTACAAGGTGCTTATACTTTTTTAAGCTATGTAACTGTGTTGAATACGTTTATGATAAAAATGAACACGACTGAAGAACTTCAGGTATCAATCTATTGTTACCTGAAAATTCTACAAATCTGGTGAACAAATATGAACTTTGATATTGCTGAACTTTATTGTAAAGAATCAATTTTTATGCCACCCAATGAGTGGGTCTCTTTGTAATAAAAAATACTAATATTCACAGGTTAAGACTGCATAAAGAAGCTTGTATTTGACCTACACATATTAAGTGCAATTAAATTTGAAATTATGTACCTAACTGTGCATATAATAATACATATTGTTGTCATGAGGAGCCTTTATAATACATTAAATTCAGTGCGGTTCCTCCCCTACAATATTGAAGAGAAGGAAGCAAGGGGACTCTGTAGTAAGAATACAGTTACAAAGCATGTATGCTTCTAGCGTTTAATAAACATTAAAAAAAGTCATCATATGTAAACTAATTAACCTTTTCAAATGTTTTTGGATAAAGTGAACCAGTATGTTTAAACCACAAATCTCTGGCTAGACTGAACTCCCTCACTTCATTTCTGTGCAGGAAAAACAGACAAGTATTTCCAAATGTTTGCGGGTACCAGCAATTTGTATCTACTTCCATTTCATTTTCTTGTCTTGGAAAAAGAACGTCCACATTGGCATGGAAGAGGCAAATAATGATGTTTAAAAGCCTCGTGGTAGAACATGAAAGGGAGACATTGTCAATTGAGAATACAAGTGTTGTGATGTAGTCTGATAACGGGCACAATTGGTGAAGATGGAAAGCCTGAAGTGCCAGCAAGAACAGCAGTCTTGCAGAGCCCAAGTAACACAGCTTGCGCTAATCGTGGTAAGGCAGTTTCAGAAAGTATGACTGTGCTGAAAAACAGGCTAGAAGCCGTTTGTTTTTATAACAGAATCACCTAGTGACATTTCTGGACCATATTACATAGTTTAAACTAGGTATGATCATAAGGCCATAAAGGCTGCTTGTGATGATCTGCTCTGAACCATAAGGCCATAAAGGTTGCTAAGGTCTTCTGCTCTAGACCAAGAATTTCCTTGAAACTAGCCATTTCAGAAATGGAAAATTAATGTTATAGCTACTAGAACTTTTATTTCACAATTGAGGCCAAGTAGAGAAGTACACTGCTTCTTACATGCAATTTCAGGAACACTGTGAATAACAGTTATGTGCTGGGAAGAAATGCTATCTTTCATGACCTTTAGTCACTTATTTTTAGTGACTAATTTTACTATTCCATAAACGCATAACAATGTATGTGTTCAATATCTGTGATGAAAGCAAGGTCTTTTTTTTATTTGTCATTTTAGTACAGTGGTGGTGTCTGTGTACACAAACAGATCTGTTAAGAGTACTCAGCAACTTTTGAATCTTACTGTATTCAAGTAGTTAACATTTCTGCAGGAAATGCAACTAATGCTTATGTGTCTCCTCTATTAGCCACCCCTCTACCTGGTCTAAAAGCATCGTAAGAGTTCAAATAAGTCAGAAAGAAAAACTCTCACAGCATTTGTTAAGCAAAGGTTTTTTGTTTTAAGTAGCTGTAAACATCAGTCACCTAGAGAGAGGATTTAAAACTGTAACTAAAGTGTTACGGCAATGGTTGTACTATTACTGTAAAAAGCCATAGGTTATTTTTAAATAAATAAAAACACAAAGACAAGATAAAAAGTGATATAAAAAAATAATCACCAATTTAAACACACAGTACTATTAAGGACAAACAAATAAGCACTGGTAAGCTTCTGAACAACAACAAAAAAATCTAACGTAATAGTCACATGAACTTAAAGTAACACATTCCTGAAAGCAAAAAACCCCCAGAACATTACAAACTAGAAAAAGCTTATGAAACATTTTTTAGAGTCAACCTCCTTATGCCAGTAGAACACCAGTCTGAGAGATCTGTTAAAAAAAAAAAAGTAGTAATTTTTCAGATGGAGGTTAAAATAACTTGGGAGTATTTTGATCACTTACTCAGGCCTCTTGAATTTTTAAATAAATAAAAACACAAAGACAAGATAAAAAGTGATATAAAAAAATAATCACCAATTTAAACACACAGTACTATTAAGGACAAACAAATAAGCACTGGTAAGCTTCTGAACAACAACAAAAAAATCTAACGTAATAGTCACATGAACTTAAAGTAACACGTTCCTGAAAGCAAAAAACCCCCAGAACATTACAAACTAGAAAAAGCTTATGAAACATTTTTTAGAGTCAACCTCCTTATGCCAGTAGAACACCAGTCTGAGAGATCTGTTAAAAAAAAAAAAAGTAGTAGTTTTTCAGATGGAGGTTAAAATAACTTGGGAGTATTTTGATCACTTACTCAGGCCTTTTGATCCCATGTCGTCAGGGACCTCCTGCAGAGTAGTCCCCAGAGGGCAAGCAATAAAAAGACAATCACAAAGAAAATAATTGTCAGTAATATATAAAATTGGCGCTACGACAGGAGACAGTTCCCAGAACATCACAGGGGAAGGTAAGTCTATAGGATTTGACCTGACTGGCACATGAAGTGTAATCAATGATGCAAACAGCAGAGAACGCAGTTTGTAGCAGACCTGGTCTGAATTAAAGATAAGTTTGCTGAGAAGACACTTTTTTTTTTTAGTACCGGCAACAACGATGAAAATCAAAGTAACCTCTCTTCATTAGGAAAACCAAATTAGAACGGAATGACTTTGAAGTAACCAGTCTGAAGGGACTGATTCGAGAAGCTGGTAAGCTTCGTTATACTTTCTTCATTGCTGTGCGCTCTCCTCCAAGTCAGAAATGAGGAACCATCACTGACAGCACTGGAAGGCTGTTATCTCCTCCAGTTATGTACACAGTTACTCAAAAGTATTACCCAGTTTATTCCAAACTGGGATACTCTTGGGTTAAATTTTACTTTAACAGCAAACAAATGGTTTTATTGATTTTGTAGATTGGTTCGTCTTTGGCACCTCAAGCTCGTTAGCCTGTTGCAGCTCATGAAACTGTCTCCATGGTAACACCCTACTGCAATCTAGCAGGCCCTTCTACGTGTGCTTCGCTCTCCATCGAATGCCACATACTTACGGTCAATATCACTGGTTTCCTGCTCACTCTGGTCCTTGTTCTTGTAGAAGGGAAATTTTCGGGAAAAGAGGTTCTTTTTACGCTTGTCATTGAATGACTGCTGAAGAAGAGAAGGAGGGGCAAAACAAAGGATGTCTAATGTCTGTGTGAACAAAGGCCCAGACCAGCAGCTTTGTGGAAGCTGACTCCTAAAACCACATTATGCAGTGCATATTCCAGTTTAACATTATCTTCTCATCTCATTAAAAATAGAGATCGGGATCACGGCTTTGCTCACACCCTCTGTATTTCACATGATTACTACTGAGAGAACTGGCAGGCTGGTTCATCCTATATGGCCTGACCTGTATTTCACAAACTTAGGCCTGCTGGGAGTACAAAAAGATGGGAAAAACTAGGCTGCTATAAGATGGCCAAACCATAATGAACTCAAAGTCAATTAAATCACTGATATTGTCTAATACAGGGGTTACAGTATTTTTAAAAACCACTGAGGCTTTACACATGCTTTTGCAAACAGCTGACATCATAACAGCACATCGGAAGTATTTGCCAGTGTTACCCATTTGCAAAGGCAAAACTGTAAATACTTTGGTGACAACTGCTAAATAACATATCATACAGTAAAAAAAAAAAATGGAAGTTAAAAGCTGGCATTGTACCAAATGCTCTTACAATACGACTAAGTAACAGTGAAATAGGAAAAAGGGAAAAAAGAAATGTGTCTAGCTAAAACATCCAAACAATAAAAAAAACAAACCCAAAACAAACTATATTTGTTTCAATCTTTCACAATTGCAATTCATTGCAAGTTCACTGAAAGAAATTACTTCGACTCTATGTAAATCTGCATCCCAATACCAAGATTAACTTTCAAAAGATACAAACTCATTTCATTTGATTACTGTGGCAATTATTTTTTCAAGGGTGCATTTATAGAGAATTACCATGTGAAAAACCCTGTATGTCCAAGGATCATGTTCAGCAACTTTTGACATTAACTGCTTGTGTTGCTGAAGAATTTCTGCATCTCAGTTACTACGAAAATTTCTAGTTACCTATATAGACATATATCCACCCATTTGCATATAAACTACTGTTGTGCTCCTTGTCTAAGTGATGAAGAGCATCAATGTACTTTCATTTGTATATAGGTATGTCTACAGGTGTAATTAACACAGGATTTAGTAATACCTGCCACGTCTTCTGCTGAAGACATGATGTGACTACAGCACCTTTAATTTACTGTTCTAAGTCAATAAAGAAACTCAATGTATAAATAAATCAGCACCATTTTTATTGCAATTATGCCCAGAACTAGAACTAATAGAGCTAACTTGAAGCCAGCTCCATCTTTTTATTTCTTTTCATCTTTAGGCATAAGTGAATCATCTGCCCAGTTTTGCCAAGACATGAAATTTGCCATGTTTCTGTCATTTGGTTTGCAGAAAATCTATTACAGGAAGGATGGCAAAAGTAAGAAAATGCCCAACTTAGTTTTGAGACCCTGTGCTGCAGGGGGACTGTTTATTTCTAAGCCAAGCAGAGCCCATGTGCAGCAGGAAGTAATAAAAGTTCCACAGACCCATTTTTTAAAAGCTACTTTTTAAAAAAACAAAAATATTTTCAATTCATACATTAAAGACTTTATTAACAGCTATTTCTAAAATTCGGAGCATGTTAACTTTCAAGTAATTGTCTGTCTGTCTTCAGCCAGCATAAGCTCATTTTCCTCTATTATATGCAATACAGTTGCACAAAGATATATTACCTTTTCTACCAGTATTAAGTGTGGAATGAAATATAGTAACAACTGGGTGTCAAATACGACAAAGTTTTTTCAAACAGTGGGCCACCTTCTTTGGTACAATTACAAAACTAGCATTGGCCTTCCCAAAGAGAATGGCTATAGTGCAACACACAAGCTGCATCCTGCTACAGTATTAACAACCCTTCTGGCCATCTGTTTTAATACAGACTTGCTTGGCAATATCAGATACTGAAACATCCAGTGATATTTCCATTACCATTGTTTAAAAAAAGTTTACTTTAAATTACCAGGTGTAAAAGAGTAACATGGTACCATGGGAGCAGAATCAGTGACATTGAGCTCTGGAAATAGCAATAGTGTGTTAAGTAGGAAATCCATAAAACCTTTAATTGACTGGCATCTGTGTTCAACTAAAACTGTCATTCCACTGTAAGAATTGGTAAATTATCAACCTGACATATGGACAAAAGAACTGGTTTCAAGCCATCATATGCTTGCAGGAACCACAGTTGGCATGGTCAAGGTTTTAGGTTATGGTCCTCCTGACCTTCTGTATCTGAAGTCAACAAGTCATTGCAATTGATTTCTCATAAGCAGAAAGATTAATGTATTCTACAGAACGAGGGCAACAAAGAAATATGCCCAGAGGAATAGATCTTGGCTGAGTATACTGAAAGATACTGTAACATGAATTTCAAAAAGTGTAAGTCTCACGTCTATATAGTTGCTCCATTTGGACAAGTCCCTCAGTTTGGGCAAAAGAATAAGGGAAATAAATGGAACAAAGCTAAAATGGTGCAGTTTAACTGAGGTGGTGAGACTCTGAAATTTCTGTAGGTAAAATAAAAGGAGTGGCTGACTTATGGTACTTCATAAAACATAATGGGGTTCTTCATTTTAGATTTTAAAATATTTCGTAACAATAATTACTGTAACTTTCTGTACAGTAAAACTTACTGAACTAATATTAAATTTTATATACTGCATGTATAATGGTCAGAGTCAGTTCCATTGCCAAAAAAAAAAGCGAAAATAAAAGTAGTATTATACTGATTTTGCATAAAGGATTAGCCAAAAGTTTATTTTTAAAAGATACCATGATTATAAAAAGCTAGAGAGAATTGCTTATTAGTTGAAAATGCACAGTAATTGTATTAAATTTTTCATAAGCCCACTGCAAATCATAAACAGGCATCATAAGCAAGAATATATTAAAACAGAAGCAGCACAGAAAGTGAGATAAATGTGTATATGAAAGGAACAAACAAGGAAAAAATTAACCCTTTCTGCTCCAGATTTTTTAGCTTTCCTTAAAATGAAAGGAACATGGATTTTAACGTTTGCCATCACTAGGGTTATTCTTTAAGGTTTTAATGTAGAAATTTTGAAGAATTGTACAAAGTTGGTATTTCATCCTGTCCATGGAGTATGATCATATACAGACACAGGAAGGCACACAGTCCATGAGGACATGTATGGTGCAGACAGCTTACTGGGAAAAATATCACCATGACAAATACAGGAAGAATACTTTAAGGAGAAACCGTGATGTTAAAACATTTACAGCTGAAGCAAAAGATTGTAACAGTGTAAGCGTGTTTGCAAAATGAAATGTTACTGAAGAAAAAGAACTGCAGTTCTATATCAATGGCAAGCGTAGTTGCTTTTCCACTCAGTATTCCATGCATATCTTTGGTGCAATGCTAGTGCACAGTGACTGTGCACTAACTCTGCTATTGTCAAAATGCTACTTCAAATACATCGTTAATTAAGTTAACTGTTTGCAGTTTATTGGTAGACAAACTACAAAACCATGCAATTATCTTTCAAAGAACATGGTAACATTTGAAAAATTACTTAATGTAATTAAAATAATCTAAAGTATTCAAGCCATTTTCTTTATGTGACTTCTAAAAAGTGAACTCAATGATCAAGTTAAAAATTACCACATCAGTCGATAACATTTTATTCCAATACCAAAATATGAATGTACCAAAACAGAAAAAACCTGCAAATAATCCAATGAATCCTCAAGGCAGTACTGTAATTGTTCATCAGAAAATAACTAGAGATATTGATTTCCTTTTAAACAAGTACTTATAGAAACAACCGTGGCATTTTCTTCATTAATAAACTGAACTGAAACCTTTACCACGTAGCAGAGGGATGTATGTATGGACTTGAGTCTTTAAAGTCTAAAATCCTACACTATCAGGATGAAGTATTGAAGCTTTAATACTTCATATATGTGATTTTTGAAGTTATGAAAACATTGTAACTGAAACAAATTACTAAAAGGAATCTTTGGGATCTACAATAATGACTGACTAATGTTACAGCATTAGTGCTATAAAAAAAAATAAAATCGCTATTTAAGAAATAGCTTCCTCAGGAGCTTAAAGCATGTTTCAGATTTTAAAAAAATGGTAATATAGTATTACTTTAGAAGGCTCTTACATCTAAAATGCATATACCTAAGTCTTACAAATTACTAGTTATATACTATTGGTAGAAATTGTAAGGTTGTGAAATTGTTTCTCAAATTTCAGAACGACCAAAACATTGCAAAAAAGCCTCACCCTCAAAACAACAACAAAAAAATTTGGCTGCTTTACCATTATTAAATTGCTGTAATTTCGGCTACAAAAATTCCTATTACTACTTAAGTAGCTACCCTGCTTTCTCACCACTCATTCCCATCACGTGTACTGGGACAGGGACTGCATATCGTGCAGTGAACTGCACCAAAGGATTGACTAAAATTAAAACCAGGATTTCTTTTGGGTTGGGTTATTTTTCATCTGCATTGGTTATTTTACATGATTTGAGCACAGCCACATTGGTATTGGCGCCAATAGAGAGTGGTGGTGAAAAAAAACAGCTGTGAGATGGAGATTGATTCTGGTCAGCAATGGCACTAGCCTCGAGTTTTTGTTGGCCTATGCCCTTGCAGGAAATTCTTTAAAGCTTCTGCATCCATAATTGTAACAAAGAAGTTACTTTATGCTGTCTGCGTAACCGTGTACATCGTAAAACCTCATTTTATCATAGGGACCCTGTTGAGCTCTACTTCCTTGTTTTCTATATACATTGAAAAACTTTAAAGAAAGGATCATACTAATTTTTCTGAAAATTGGTAGTAAACCCCTCCCCCCAAAAAGGGAGTCCAGGAGTACAATCCATAGTAAAGGACTAAACGGCTTTATAAACAGCACTTGCAGAGCTGTTAGAAATGGCACTATTCAATAGTTGATTAGTATCTACAATTCCTATTACATTACAGTATTAATAATAATATTTATAAGCTAATTCTTCAAACAATTTGCAGTGTTTTGGCAATGGTTTACTACTAAAGTTAGCTTTGGTGCTCAGAAATATTTCTATTTGACAGAATTTCATCTTTTCACCAAAAATTGAAACTGAGTCTGCATAGATAAACCACTGAAAAATGTTACCATTCACAATGCCAGGTGTAATTAGTACTTCATTAACTCACCCCTTTATCTCCTCTTGTTTTGGAATTGAATTTCACTGTCTTTAAACGGGCTCGTTCTTTTTTCTCAACTCTACCACAAAAACATACACAAAAGAAGTTATATCAGCAAAATTCCAGCACTTCAAGTTACTACTTGTTACAATGTAAGCGTATAGGTGTACCTTTTGCAGTACAGATTTTTGTTGGTGATGACACCTTCAGAAAATGGCAGCCTGCTAGTAGCAGACTGTATTGGAAAAGTAGGGTATTACTTCTCAAGTGATGAGCTGTGAGAGTGAGTATTGGAGTGTTTTGTAATTATATAGGTTCAATAAACCGGGGGGCAAAAAGAAAAAGCATGTCACAATAAGCGAGCAGCTTCAATTACCAGTCAACAGCAGATATTAAGATTCAGAGCACCTAATCTCTTATTTGAGTCTCTGATATGCCAGAAAACACCTTTTACAATTTAGAAACACAATTTACTTTGCACCTTTTCATACATAAATGGTGTAATGTTATTAAACCCATAAATTGCTTACAGTGAGAACAGAGAAATGGACTTGGACCACCTTTATCAACTTCAGCACACAACTCGTAAGGCTAAATAGGATTTTAACAAACTTCTCATTGAGTTAGTCAGAATCCCACTACAGATCATTTTTTTTTTTTAAAAGACCACCAAAAACAAGTGGCTGATGTGGTACAGAAATAATAACAAAGAGCAAAGCATATGCAATATATGTATTAATCATATCAGACTTTTAATAGCAGACACCTCAAAGTCAATAAAATATCATGACATACCTGCGCTTGCTTGGGATAACTCCAATTTCATCGCTTTCTCCATCTGGAGTTACCTGCCGTGCTTGCCACCATTCATCATCAGAAGCATTAATGACATGGAGAATATCGCCAAATTTGAAGTTCAATCCTTGACTTGGAAGGCCGCTATCTTTAGTCTTGTCATAATCAAAAAGAGCTCTACATTGAAAAGAAAAAATTAAACATAGAAAAAGCAAGAAAAAAACCCCAGGGGAGTATGAATAGCACAAAATATGAAGCTGCCTGTGTTGTTCACAAACAACTGCATCATTCTGACAGTTGCTTAAAAGAAGAATGCTGAATACATTCTCTGTCTCTCTCATATACATACACACACACTGAGAATATATCGTATAGTATTCACACACACTTAGAAGTTTTAATGAATGAGAACAAACTTTGTCCAGAGCAGAACTCCAGTACTTTGTAAAAGGTCGACAGAAGATGCCTCCTGCAATTCAATAAGTACTTTGCACAGAGCAAGTTACATGTCAACCTAGGGAAAAAAAAGGCAAGCATTTGAAGCATACAGCACTGCCAAAAGTTCTGTAATGTACGTTGTTTTATATCAAGTTACAAATTGGAATTGTTTTAGTAAATAAAAATTACTGTCCTTAAAGTAAAAGTTGATATCCTGCTCACAGAGTGGCAGGGGAAAAAAAAAAGCTTAGAAATATGATCTGAACACAACTTGCTACTGCAGTACCCGAAGGCAAAGAACTTTATGTGCATTCTTTTGGAAAATTCCCAACCACTTCAAGAGAATCTCATCCTTTTTTCTAAGGTAAGCTTGTTTTCAAATAATAGGCACTAGCAAGACCTGAACACCAGCTGCGTGGCTACAGTTTTATTAACATTCCCTTGTGCCAGCAAGGTTGGTTTATGCAAGTCCACTATTATCCATACCCACATTCATGCCTGCTTTGTACTGATTCCTTCCCCTTCTTACTTATGAAAGCACGATTGTCTAGAAAGGCACATGGTGCACCATACTGTGGAACTGATCTGGGTTAAAATTAATTTCTTTTCTCCCTGTTGGATCATTTTATACCGGGATTGGTTCCCTGAGGAACTGAAGAGACTTGCAGTATGTTTCTCCCAGCACAATTGAGGGTATAGTGAAGATGCGGAAATGAATGATGACAGGAGCCTCTTACCAAACTGTAAGAGATACTCCTAAGATTACGCCTTATAAAGGGCTCTTATTTTGTATTTGAAAAAGGTGTATGAACCTCACCTATGTAAAGCGAGAAATGCCTGTATGACACAGGCCAAAAAATCCTCAACTTTATTTCATCTGCAAGCTCCTAAGTTTGCCAGTGATGCACTTTCTAAACGATACCCCATCTCAATTTAGAGACTTGATAAGAAATCCATCTCAAACTTAGGAAAATAGCAACAATAGATTACAATGTGATGATTTAAAATGGTGTCCTTGTCCAAATTCAGTTAGTTTCTTCTTCCCAAGCACTAGTCTTATGTACCTTTTTCTGCTAGATTTTTAATGTCTCAGAATTTTTTTAACCCATGTAAGTACCTGTAAGTCATAACTGTTTGCTCTAAAATGTATTTTAGCTTTGTGAATTTTGCCTTTCTAAAGCACAGAGTGTATTGTGATGATTTAAAATGGTGTCCTTGTCCAAATTCAGTTAGTTTCTTCTTCCCAAGCACTAGTCTTATGTACCTTTTTCTGCTAGATTTTTAATGTCTCAGAATTTTTTTAACCCATGTAAGTACCTGTAAGTCATAACTGTTTGCTCTAAAATGTATTTTAGCTTTGTGAATTTTGCCTTTCTAAAGCACAGAGTGTATTTCTTTGGGTTTGAACTGTATTTGCTCATAACCAATGTCAAATTGCTTACAGGGAAAAAATTCAACATTTTCTGTCAAATCAATTCATCTTTAGCATAAGGTCTACTGCAAAATCAGAGTTGGTTGAGACACCATGCCTTTTTGGGGCCATAAAAAGTATCAAAAACTTTTCATAATGAGATAAAGGTTTTCATAAATACTTTCTAAAATGTCTAGAACAAAGCAGACATTTTAAAATGGCTTCAAAATATTTACTCTCATGATACACAAAGCCCTGTATTTAAATGTGCAATACTTTTAATTTGTAAAAATTTTATTACAAATTTAGGCTTTCAATTTTGAAAGCGTTTGGAGGTTGAAATACCACCTTCCTTCAGTAGTGCAACCTCCACAATAATATCTTTCAGTTTAATTCTGTAACATTGCTTTGTGTTTAAAACTTGTACTTTCATCTCTGTTCAGAGCAAATACAAATGTTTGTTCAATTTTGCTTCTGCAAACAAGATAATAAATATTGGTAATAGTTGAGATATCCACATTCTTTTTAAAAAAATCAGAATTCTTATTTTCTTTGAAATAGTCCAAATACTGCAGGTAAGAAAATTATACACCTAGTAGTTATTCCTCCAGATTTATTCTGGACATGTTTGTTCAAGAAGCACCGTGGACAAATATCCTTTCCTATCTCAAAATAAATTGCACATAATCCATTATGTACTTTTAATGCAGATTCAAGTTATTTACATTTTCACTGAATTAATTAAATGCATCGTGGAATTTATTTCCTGAGAATTCTTGTTCGCATTCATCAAGCAATGTTTCTACCAGCACTACTTTTAAGTTTTAGTTTGAATATAAACTTATATGAGCAGCGAGCTGGGCCTAACAGCATTAATACGTGTTGACTGCATGAGAAAAAAAAAATACACAAGAGTGAAATGGAAGCACAAATGGATAAAAACATCTTATCAACATGTGCTCTTCAAACTAGATAAATGGTTACACTGAATAGTTTTTGCACAATGAAAGGCAGTTTCATCAAATACCTTTCCTCTGGTAAGGTCACTTCAAGAAAAATAATTTTACTGGGGAAAAAACTAAAAGCTTATAGTTTTATAAGATGAATTAGGGTGACACACAGTAGTGATGAAACTGCACAGCTAAAATTTATAGGAACACCAGGAACTGGTAACGATCAAATAAGTGAGCCAAAAAGCAAACAGAATTAACAAAAATCTCTTCCAATTCCAACTGATTAACATGGCTTTTCCTGTATACCTGGCAAGTCATCAAATGAGAACTCATTTCACAGCCAAGATGACATTTATCTACGGACTGGTATATAAAAAAAATACCTCTTTTATTAACTCTCTGTATGGAGACTTTTATTATAGATTAGCAATACCATGTATACATTTATTTAGTGTAAGTTATAAACACTAACTTACTTAAAAAGAAATTTGGTATTCCTGATCAACTACTGCTTTGAATTGAGTCCCATGATATTTACCCTAAAGTTCTATTTAAATTTAAATGAGTCATAAAAATTATTTTACAGAGAAAGCATCAAGTCCTCCCTTTTATTTCACCTTGTATTACTCGGCAACTAAACAGCACTAAAAAAAGGTAACTTGGTTCCTTCACTTACAAGTCTACAGAAACTGAAGTTGCATGTTTCATGAGTGTTTATGCTTCAAAGCCAAAAATTTAATGGCTGTCTTAACAGTGCCAAATTTTCCAGAATGTATTTTTACCTGGCCACACTCATTACTTTCAATATCATAGGCTATTGATCAAGTTTTACTGAAGCATTTCTTCTTTTAGGGTATTCTTGCTGAACAAAGCAATCAGGAATTCCTGCAGCAAAAGCATCTCCATGTCTTATTTCATGAAACATAAATTAATCTTACCACTTCAGAATGAATGAAGGACAGCTTATAAAGGAGGTTCTCTTTTTCACCTTAAGTTTTTGGGTAAGCTCTTTGAAACTAGATGTTTGAAATATCAAAATAACATAGGGATGCCCAATTAAACTCCTCCTGCAGGCAAGTACACTTTTCAGGCCTGGTGCTAATGCCAGATCTTATTTTTCAATGGATTTAGTTAAAATTTTGTAATGTTTTCAAAACTGTAAAGTTTCTCCCACTTGGAGATGTAACTATTTTCTGCTCTGATTCAAGCAGGAATCAGCACCATTGTTTGACTCTGAAATGTATCATGCTGGTCAGAAAAATACACAGAGGTAAAAGTAATTTTCAATTTTGAATTCTACGCGCATTGCACAGACTGAGATTTGACATACAAGATGAGATAAAGTATGGAACAAATTTACTCCCTGCCAACACATTATTATAGAAACTTGATACCATGAAGGTGTATCACCTTTTCACATGTGCTTTTTGAATCTGCAGATGAAGGAGGAGAGTGTATAGATACAGTTCAGATGCAAAAGCAGAAACATTGTATGAGAGAATCTCTCTCCTCTTAAAAAAAGATCAAAAGAAATACAAACCGAAAATAAGAGAAGGCCATTAAATCAGTACATCTTAATTAGTTGGGGGGGCGGGGGGGGAGGAGAGAGAGAGAATTAGATGTGCAAATGAAGAGATGGCTGCTGCTGAATTGCTATATTTGTATTGCCCTCCAAGGACTGTTTGTTATATTGCTATTCATCATATATTGATATACATACGATTAAGAAGAAAAATCTGCCATTTTACTGCAAACTGTATTTTCAGGCAAACACAATTGTCTTTTCCTTAATATTACATAACGCCCCCAAAATGCTGTTTACAGGCAGACTATTCATAAAGATACCATTTTTCAGTTACAGGGACACAATGATGTATCTGATTTTATTCGCTATTTTGTTACCATAATTTTTGAGAAATCACCAGAGATGATTATTTTTAGAGTATTTTTATTTGATAGGTTTTCTACAATTGTGGTTGAATGCCTATAACCATTTTACTGTTGGATTTGCCATTCAATTCAGCATTACATTATATAACTGGAATCTTTAAGGCATATCCAAAACCAAATATGACAGAAAAAAGAGCTTCAGTTAGTAAAATTGGCTTTGAATTGGTACAATTAAAAGTACAGAATGATCATACCAGAGCAACTTATAATAAGGAGTAAGTTGGATAACTAACATGTTCTGTCAGTATCTGGCAATATGTGAAAAGACTCATAAAACTTACTTCAGTGAGGTCAAAATTACATCAGAAACCAGACAGAACAGATGTGAACCCATCCTGTCTATACCAAGTTGCCTACCAGTCTTTGGCATCTTTTGGTGTGATGACAAGAGCAGATCTCAAAAACCCTAGCAGCACCCTCTGTTAAGAGATGTGGGTGGAAAACTACTCTTCCTGAGGAATTTTTGCATTTTAGATTTTTGTTCTGACTTATAACAAAGCTGATTCCAAGAAAGGTGTCTGAGACTCAGTAATCACCAGTCTCCACGAGGCTTCTGCCAACAACCGGGAGAAGGCTGCATTTTCTGCAGCAGCTGGCAAAGGCAAAAGCTCAACCTCAATCATTTACAGATAACAACTTCCATCAGTGGAATAAAAGCTACATAAACACAAAATGCTTGTCAGTGGCTTAAAATACCAGACCAATGCGTGAACACGAGCATAAGTTGTTTAGAACCTAATCAGGCTATAGCTAACCAAGCAAAATAAAAGCATTTAGAATTGTTTAGGCTTAGCTATATGATGAGGGCTAAAGAGATAAATCTTGGGATTATGGAAAGGAAGATCTCACCACAATATCCATATGTACACTTACCTGTGGAAATTCTAAGACGTGGAAATTCTAAGACATGGATAACTGTGATATCAAGCACTTATCCCTAGTATTTAAGGCATTTATCCTCGGAGATTTAAATTTTGACCCCCAAAAATATTTAAGGCAGACAAAGTACAAAAAGAACAACAACATCAGCTCTGCAAAACCAGAATCCAGACAAAGCTACTAAAATAACAGGTCAAAACATAAGGGCTACATGTTACAGTCAATCTAAGCAGAAGCCCTGTATGAGTAATTTGCTACATTTGTTTCAAAGCTTTCAGAAATAGCTTGCAAAGTACTGAGACTTTTCTGAGCATAGATGCCATTACTCAGGTAACTGCCCTGTGTAAGACTTGCTTCCTCTGCCATAGCTCAATAGATACAGCACCATGAACAAAACAGTATCTGCTTCGGATGGGAAAAGTCAATAGCACCTGAGCCTAGGATTTTAGCAGGTAAGCCAGTGAGGTCCTACAATATTTTAAACCAAGTTTAACCCAAGCACCAGCACTACTGAAATCTTACCCGCTCTACTAAAATGTTCTGGCCCCTGCCAAGAGGCTACTGCTGGCCCTTATTCAATCCAGAGATGAGCTGGTTTTGGGAACTCAAAAATCAATTTATTTTTAAAAATGCAATCCTTTTACCCACATTCCATACTTGAAACGTCACGCTTTATCAGTATATGGTAACTGATGCAGGATTTAGTTGGCACATTTATGAGCTGCACCTTGCCACAGTTTCCCGGTGAAACCACCTTTCTTAACTGCTTCATGCTCTTTTCTATTTCCACTTCCTTTTAGCCTCCCTCTGTGTTTAATTCTATATGAATAAATTAAAGAAAAATTTTCAGTTCATTTGATTTGGTGCATTTGCTCTCTTGGTTACCATGGAAAATATTCTATAATAAAATGCTATTGGATATAGAAATAAGATTTCTTAATGCAAGCTGAGAATATAACTGAAGTAAGTTGAAGGAAGTAAGATGGAAATCTGACAAAGCTTAAGTAAACGGAGACTATAAATTTGAACTCAAGAACTGAACAGGGGAGAATATGAAGACTGCTGTCACAAAAAAACACAAACTGAATTAAGCAAGTTGTTAAGACTTCACGTACACTGACTTAAAGAATAAATATATGTTTTTGTTGAAGGATTATCATTTCTCAGAGGCAGGACAAAAAGTAATAGCACCACTCTTCAAAGCTCATACAGGGTTCTCAGGGCTAGTACATCTTTTTCAGCTATATTGCATTAATCAATCTAAATTAAGCTTTATTGTTAATATATTTTGCATATAAATATCAATTTGTTAAGTTCAATAATGAGTAAATAATTGTATAAAAATGCAAATACAGAAATACTAAGTCTACAGAAAAGCAGAAAAACACACTAGCCATGAAAAAGATGATTACCTGACATATAGGGATCTCTTCTGGCTGGTTCGCAAAGATCCTGATCCTGAACTAATGCTACTGTTCATCATCTGTTCCCGCAAATCATGTATTTTAGCTTCAAAACGACTGTATTCTGTAAGAAAAGGAGGCACTGCAATTAATTTCCTCTGAACTTCAGCAATTAAATTACTCACAAAAATGCTGAAAATCTCAGAGAATAAGCATTTGTTACAGCTTTTTTAATACAAGGAAAAAACCCTCTCAAACCCCAATATTTTTATTGAGCACTATGTTTTGTAATTAAAAGCTATGTGAAGTTTCACATTTATCAATATTAACTGAAATAAAACTTGAAATAACTGTGATTAGGCAAAGCAAATAAACAGAAGCAAATATCCATTATACTTAAAAATTTCATGTTTTTAATCTATAGTTCACAGTAACTATTTTTTCCTAATTAAAACAAGCATTTCTACTAACAATTATCATTTTTATAGTAATAAAAAGACTGATAATTTTTAACCCATGACAAAAAGAAAACTTCAGAACACACATCTGAAATACATATGTTTATTATCAAGATCTATAAATTTAAAATTTTAAATGTTAAGAAATGGGAATGAAAAGTGTCTGAAAAAACAATATTGAACAGATACTTTAAAATTACTGGAACTGAATTAGGTAAGAGAAATTAGCACTGCAAGGTGGGAAATATGCAAAACATTTTCTGAATAAGACAACGTTCCCATGGGAGCTCAGAAAAGGAAAAAAAAAAATCCAGAATTCTGGCATGAATCTTGATCCACTTGTAAACAGCATTAGAGATTCAAACTCCCTTTATAGAATTATGTACAATGTTAATCCTGGAAAAACCGATTGTGTTCTTAAGCAGCACTGTGTACTAATAAAACTAAGCTAAATGCATTTGATTTTAGATACAAAGGCAGGCAGTAAAATAGTAGTAGCTTCTTCAGGACAAACATTTCCTGAAGCGAGGTACTTACATGCTGTCAGCATAAAATATGAACTCAAAACAAGTAAGTTTTTCCTTCAGTTGAATAGTTTGGACTTCATGATCAACAGATCCACTTGTAAAACCTTTCCAGTTAAAGGAAACGTTCTGCAGCCACCACCTTCGCCAGGAGACCACGTGATGCCTGATTATTACAAGCCAACACTGGGAGAGCCAGGGTGTGTGCAGCAAGCAGCTGCTGAACTGGGTAACGCGTTGCTCTTCCTAGCTGCACCCTCATTCCCTGCGGGCATCAAATTTACTCAGGAAGTGCAAGACTGAAAGAGGGCTCTAAAATGCAAAAATCTTGAGGAAATCTCTAAACTAAGGTTCCTTCAACAGTCATCTAAATACCATGAACGATTTATCGTATTACATTCTGTAGCACTTTCTCGCACACACTCATCAGACAGTGAGCACCAAGAGTTACAGACTAACCAGAGAAGAAGAAAAATATATTAAGTTACAGAAGAATATTCTGTGAACCAGTTTCTGGTATATCACTTCATTCGTTAAGGTAACTATAAATCTGATGCTCTAGCAATAGCAACTATAATTAACCCTATCCAGATTATGACAATATGAAGTCTTTTAAATAACCCTGACTTTTGTCCTTTAAAACCAAAAGCTAGTAGTTTTTAAGATAGTATATTAGTTTTTAAAACAGCATCAAGTGCCTTTTTACAAATAAAGTCCAGATCAAATAATTTACCAGCACCAGATCAGACTGATGAGTTTGTTTGACAAGAGAAACAAAAACATTATTTCCACCACTACCAATGCTATCACTAATAGCAAAAGAATTTAAGATGACAGGATGGTAACCTAAGAGGAATGCGAGAAAGTGGCATTTTTTAGAAAGCAATATCCCTTAGGGGAAGGACCCAGATGCAGAGAGAGAATAGTCTACTCCTGCTGTGCTACTGCTGCACTGCATGGCCTTAGGTAGGTCGCCTCATTTAACTCATTTATACCTGAGAAATTATCTTTTAAGCCTCTCACCTGTTTCTTGGGTGTTTTGGAAGATTAAAGCTCTAAACTTCAAACATGTTACAAGAATGGTAGCCGAGATTTCTGACGTAAGAAATTTTTTTAATGAAATTTTTTATTTATTTCCTTTATGCGAAAGGAAAGTAAGCACGGAAGAGATCAGATAATCCAAGCATTTTCTTGTGCTACAGCCTGTTCAGTACTGAAAATATCTGCAGTTCTTTGCAATAGCTACTGGAAAAGACTACAAATTTCTGTTAAGAAAGTATCATGTGTCATCTGTTGGAAAAATCAGATTTCCTCCTATGTGGCATGTAGTATGTAAGAGAGTTAACAGGGGAGGCTATTCCTTACTATCGCTTAACTCTACTTTATCCTATATATCATCTTCAGGTTGCTGGTCTTGCGGTTTTCTGGAGTAATTTACTTTTTCTCATCAGAACTCCTGGGAAGTAAGTGCTGAATGGGTGACAGGGACATCTGTAGGAGTAAGAAGGAGATTAATTTCTACATAGAGCTCCTGCCATACCAATAAAAAAAGGGAAACTAACAGGCTGGGACTGAGAAGGCTCTATGTTCTAAAAGAAGGGGTGCCAAGAGATGTCATATTTAGGAAAAGCTTAAACACTCTGTGCAGATGGAATCTGATGAGCTCCTTTGATGTAGAGGAAGCTAAAAATTTGAGTTATATTCCTCTTACAGAAGGTTTTGGGAGGAACAGGATGGATAGAAATCTCAAAATCGTTGGGTTTGGAGCTGAAAAGTAGACAGGATTTTTGTTTTTAAAAAAGAAAGCTTGGTATTAGATACAGTGGTACTGAAACTAATGCTGGAGACAGAAAATAAGACAACAGCAGGACTCTTGATAGCATCAGAAAAACAGTATCAGTTTGGTACCCAAAGGATCAGCACCCATCCCCTGTTGACTAATTAGGCTTGGTTCAACTTCGGCATTATAAAGCAAAGAGTGAGCTTTTGCTAATCTGTCTAGGAGTGGTCATATTTCTATCTCTATGATTAAGAAGAGTTGCATATCAACTGTCTTTAGCACCTTCAATCTCTTATTAAAGTGAAGAACACTGATGCCATCTGGTAGTTTATGAAATGTAGAAAAGTAGTTGCAGGATAGCAGCCAGAAGACTGTCCACAGCATCATCTTACATGCTCTACAAAAGGGGAACATCAATAGCCAACAGCTGGTAGCAAGACTAGAGACTCGTATCCGAGATGCGTGTGTATCAAATGCAATCCATACAAAATGCAATTTTATTTGATTACAGAAGCACCAGAAAACTACCTACACACTTCTATGTTTTTAATCAATCCCTGCAGTAATGCCTTACTACTTATTAAACGCAAAAAAAAAAGCAAACAAATTACAGAGAAGTAGCACCAAATTTACACTACTGAAAGACTTCAAATAATGGGTATACCAGACAGAGGTGACTCTGTAAGAAACCCCTTAGCTAAAGTAACATAAAAGCTGAAGTGCTGGATAAAATCAAAAGCACGATCTTAACTTAACACTCGTCTCTCACACTGACAAGTAAGGAAGTATTCCTTAAGGATGAGAACTAGGCAAGCACAGAGTGATACCTTCCCTTCAAGTACCCTCCCATCCTCCAGTATTTTCAATGTTTACAGAATTTCATAAGCCATACAATGCACATATAAAACTTTTTTTTGAAGTTTTATTTTGCCACTTCAACATTCCAGAAATTTGGAGCTGGAACAGGCACAGTGAACAAGATAAAAAGGACACTCTGCTTCCTTGGTTAAGAGGAAATGAAGAGCTTGGCTGAGAAGGAATATGATTGATCTCTGGTCAAATGTGATCGAGGTAACCAAACAGAAAGGAAATAAGCTATTTAAACAAAAAAACAAAACTGACTTTAACCCAAACAGAGTGGGCTGGTCATAGGAACTCCATCTACAAATATGCTTCCAATTTCCACAGCCATCAAAACATTGAGATTCTGAAATAGTACTTTAATAAGAACTATGGTGGCACAAGAAACACTGCCCGCTCCCCCCAGTGAAGTTAGAAAACAAAACAAAGCCATGCAACCCAAACCCTCAATCCTTTCAGGTAAGAATTTGACCAGGATCTGAAACCTGATGTATATGCAACAGCAGTGAATGGGACTTAACTCAGGATCTCTTCTAATGTTCTGAATTTTAGGAAAGCTGCTGATGATCTACATCAAATAAAGGGTAATAGGCAGCAAGACTAACATGAAATGCAATAAAATAAGAACATAAGAATAACAGTATCTCTTCTTAGCTAGAATTTTCTAAAAGTTTCCAGTAAGTTTAGGGGCAGGGAGGGAGTAGTACCTGCTATCATAACATAGAGCTTGAGGAAGCACAAGCATCTGTTGCTTCAATCCATGTCATTTATCCAACAGTACCCCACCATCACCACAGGAAAAAAAAAACCAAAGCCTACTCTGGTTTACACATAATCAGTTGTTAAGAACATGAGATGGATACATCTGGGCTCAAGTTTAAACTTAAAAATTATACTAGATAAGCAGATGGTTCAAAACTAGAATAAATCTGCTCTATTTCATGTCTGCACATATTGCGCAGCAATGAACAAAAAGGATTGGGGGCGGGGGGTGGGGGGGTGGTGGATTAGGAAATCCTGGAAGAGTCCTCTGCTCCCGAGCTCCTAAACTGGTTTTACCTAGAAAACTGTAATGTTTTCAATGTCAATGTTTACTTTAACAGAAATCAAAACTTCAGAGAAAGGGTCTGAGCAGTGAAACTCTCCTGGACTGCCTATCTGGTGGGCAACAAGAGGAGAGCAATAAACACAGATACATGGTGAATAGTCTATACAGGCAGGGGAAGAGAAAAAAAAGAGGCCGCAATGAAAATTAATTTGGTCTGGAACACACGTTCTAGCAAATGGGGCAAAAGGACAGAAGACTATGACAAGGGATGGAAAATTCTGCAAACAGCACAGAAGGAAAAGCAACTCATGGAAGCATGGATGTGTGTACAGGGAACAGATGGCAGCACAGCACTGAGAAGCAGAGATTCTTACATATACTGAACCCACGAAGAGCTGAAAAAGTTCACTTTAATTAAAAAAGTATGCCCCTTGCTTCCCTCTTCCCATCTGT